CAAACTGAGCATTCATAAGAAGTGCTGCCCAGAAACACCTGAAAATTAGAACTAACCTCCTGCAAATAAAGCATGTGGAACCAACAGAACCCCTGCCAAGCCTCCAGGGAAAATAAAAGATTGTCAGTCAGCCTGGATGAACCTGGAACCTCACACTGCAGCCAAAACAGACCCATATTCAAAAGATACTGGGTCCATCAACAACAAAGAGGTTCGAATTCTACAGGAAGAATGAAAAGAGATCCATACAAGCTACCAGAGATGAAACTTAGGAAAACCGAAACACCAAAATATGACAACTCGAAGAAACTGAATGTAACTCGTAATTTAATTCAAGGGAAAGCAGCTGAGGGATCATACTCATACATAGAGGGGTAAGAAAAATTCTACCCCTGCAGCAAAAGTCCCTCTGTAGAGGAAACTATAGCCCATAAAAGGTAAAAAAAAAACGTTTCCACAGACACTCCTCGGGCTCCACATCCCCCCACCTCAACCCCCTGAAACAGGTATGAAGGCCCCAGGGCACAGCCTGAGAAAGAAAGGCATCCTCTTAAATAGAAGGCTTGGAGCAGGGGAGGTTGTGAAGACAAAGGTCCCAAACCCTCTGCTGGGTAAGAAGGTTCAAATGCTTTTGCCATGATGGGGCCATCCCTAGAGAAGGCCAAGCTACACCCCGAGCTAAACCTTGATCCATCTCCAAAACCCTTGAACACTTCGGAGATGGAACCAAAGGGTAGGGGTTGTGGAAACCAGACGCAGGACAAATCACACCTACAGGGGAGGGAAGAGAATATGCTGACTTAATTCAAATGATTACAACACCTCTACATTTTTTTATAATTGTCATCATAGCCATGTTAATGTGCAAAAGTGAAGCAAGTTTGTCAGTCTGTTCCCAAGATTAACCATCTCAATAAGTGTGTTAAGGTCAGGTAGCATTAGAGCCTATGGTATATAACACACAAAACTCTGCTTCAAATCATAATACCAGCCTTATTGAGTGATCTAAATCAAAGTATTTAGTCCTTGTTGGTGTCCCGAACATATAAAAATGATAACGTTCGATTTAAGATAATGGGCTCTTATAGTAAGGGCAACATTGCACTTTCTTGTGCTCAACAAGGGAAGTATAATATTGTCATTAAAACGGCATTTAAAGGTTAATCATTGACAAAGAGTTGTGCTCAGTAACAAATGAGATAGCACAACCAGAGAAGTGATAATGGAAGTGAGATGATCATGACTTATCAGATGGTGAAGACAGTCAGTGCTCATGAGGTGTGGGGTCAATGACTAAGTGCATTCAAAGAAGCAGTATGGAATTGGAATTTAAATTCCCATTGTAGCAGCAGCCATTAGCTCACAAGTGAACTCTTCCTAGTGGGGAAAAGTGTATATTCCAGGGAAAGAAGAACCATAGACTTTAGTCATCCATTACAAGTTTCAAAGAGTGAAGGTAAATGAAAGGTATGCACAAAAAAAAAAAGTTCTGCAGGGTCCGACACAACCTGTCCTCCTACAAAGAACGTCATATCACCGAGTTCCCCTACCACCCACTACAGAGCTCAACACCCTCTGCCCAGACCCCAAGGATAGCAAGGAAAGTATATAATTTACTCTCAAGGAGCCATACAGCACACCAGGAAACAAGAGTGACGACCACTTGACTCCAGCTGACCCTAGTTCAGCTAGGCCAGCCACCATCTCCAGCAGATTTACTCAGCTGGCCTACATTGAACCTTTCTCGATCACTCCAATGGCTCACCAAAGAAGTACTGTATGGTATTCCCCAGAAAATCCAGTTATCTGGGCAAATTCGGCTCCCAGATAAAGGGAAATTGGAAAATAAGCATGTCTCCATGCATGGAAAAATCACAGGTGGAAGCTGCATACTGTACCAACATTTTGTCATACCCTCCTATTAGTCCAGAAGAGACACAGATAAGACCTATTAGACCTATTTACCAGAAGAGGAGCTTCATAAGCCACTCATATTGGCCTTTGTACTATAGAAAAACAAGCCTATCTTATCTGATCAAGGCACCAGCCAAGTAGGATGATGGGAAAGACAAACAGGGACCACTAGAAGGATATAGAAACAGTAAACTCAGCGGGATAAAATCAGGACAAATGGAGGACCTTTGACAAGCTGCCGGCTTCCTGCCTGCATTGAGGTCACTAGTATCAGGCCATTTCGAGGGTCCCGGAAGTACAGTACAGTCAGGTTCGTTCTCGATGCACAATAGAGAATTATGGGTTTGAATCCCGGGCGGGACAGAAATGGTTGGACACATTTCCTCTCACCTAATGCCTCTGTTCACCTAGCAGCAAGTACAGTAGGTACTCAGGATTTAATCAGCTTGTTGTGGGGCTGCATCCTGGATGGGGTCAGTAATTCGACCTAGGAGGGGAAGGGGTGGACCTAAATACAAGCCTAGTGTGTATGAATACACTCTGGCTTCCTGTCCCCCCAACACAGTGAATTATTATTAAATTATTG